ACGGAGGATGAGTAATATTTATATATGAATATAAATATAAATGTATTCATATATGAATACACCACCTCCCCTCCGCTACCAATCACCACCAATGTCACCACCAACCACATTCGTCAACTCTGCCACGTCCACAACCAACCACCACCAACAACCGTGGCCCATGCCACCACCCACTGCCGCCATATTCATTTAAAAATAATCACTTCCGCTATACTTATTCATATATGAATATACATATTCATATATGAATACACTTACTCATACATATTCATAAATGAATATGATCTGATCCCGCTGGAACGATTAAGCGGCATATTCGAAATGAGTGACCCATATTTATTTCCTTGTTCTCAACTTTTTTTTTCTCAATTAAACTCTCCCATATATGTGTGTGTGTGTGTATATATATATATATATATATATATATATATATATATATATATAAAATAAGCAATAAACAATTAAATGGTGATTATTGAATAACAAGATAATTGTTAATCAACCTTACTTTATACCCACACACACATATATCCCGCACCCACCTTGACCCCATCTCTTCCCCCAAATACCCGCATCCACAAACACACACCCCTACCCAACCTCTACCCACACATGCATGCTCATGTTCATTCCTACACACATAACCACTCTACCCCAACTCCACCCCGCATACCCACCCATACTCGCACCCACATCCATTCTCACATGCCCATTACTCACGGGTGCATACATACCCACATATACATACACATACAAACATGTTTTTATTTTCTTTTTTAAATTCTATAAATCCACACTCAACTATTGACTAAGTGACACTAGAGTTAGTTCCAAAGCAAAATATTTGTTAATTGGTATTATCCGGAGCAATTATACAGTTTCGTTTTGTAAATATATATTTTTGCTTTATGTATTATACTTAAATTGAAAAAAAAAATCATTTTGAGCAGGTAAACGTTTTATAAGTTGAAATTTTAATTAAATGAAAGTTTTATCATTTCGTTAGAAAATGTATTTTCATGGTATTACATAATTTACTTTTTAATTCATTTGATAACTCTAATAAATAAATAAATAAATAAAAGGACTTTGTCAACCAAACCGGTAACACATTTCAATTCTTGTTTTCCAATTTTCTTTAAGATTTTTATTCATTTGACAAATTTTATTATTTCTGAAAACATTCTATGTCTCCCTAAAGTTTGTTTAGGTCATTTGAAAGGAAAAAGAAAGTAACATTTTTGTAAATATAAACCAAATAGCAGGACAATGTAAAGTTTAAATAGTATATAAAAGGTTTACATGCATAAAATGGCCCACGAACACTCGCACAATACCTATAAAAATTCTTCAAATAATAATAATAAAAAAGACATAAAACACTGTGACTATAAATATTATGTGGATAATTATTATTTATTTATTTCCTATCACAGCTCTGCTAACCCCAAATAATAGTTGTCCATGATATCTATGTAGATCCTTCTAGAAAACTATATTGACATAAGCAATGATGTATGACTATCTTGGCATTCTCGATACAGACGGCAATATCACCACCAAATTATTCTGAGGCCACTGCAATTCAAAAGCTTATTTTCCTCAACCACAACGAAGCGAATTATACAGATAACATAAAACTGATAAAAATAACAAATGAATTAGCAGATACGTATTATTTATGATTAACAAAATTCTTAAAACATTTTTTTGGAACAGCAGAATTGTATTAAACCCTAACAAGGTGCAATGAAGAAACAAACAATTACACAGTTCACAGAATAAAGATGGTTTCTAAACCAACCGACCCAATTAACTTTAAGCTTACATATCCTATTATAAAATATAAAAGAATAGGATTTTGACACAATAAATTTAAAGTCGGTGGTCTTCCTTTTTTTTTAACCGTTTCAAATATCGTGTCATTACAAAACCTTCAATTATCCAACATACTGTAAGCACAACATCTACACAACTTTTTTTTTTTTGCAAAAAATGTGAATTTAAGGTGCTTCTTCCACGCAATTAACTTCGAAAAATTTGCAAACCTTGGATCGTCGAGTTCCACCGTCGAGCAATCTGTTAGATAATGGATTGATTGATTCTCAAAAGACAATTACATAAGAATATATAGTGAATACCTAAAGCCTAATGGCTAAACCCTAAAAGGCTTGGGCCTAAACCCTAATCACTAACATTCCCCCGCAGTTTGATCAGGTGGAGACAATTAAACTGGAAAAATAAACAAAAGAAGAAAACATAAATACTAGATGAAGATGGTGCCATCTGCGGTGGTAGAGCTCTAACAATGACGGCGAACATCGACTGCTCGTCGGAAAAGAAGAGAGAGAAGAATTGGCAGCCATAGGTGATTCCGTTGTAGAAAAAGAGAAGACTGGCGGAGGCGAAGATCATGCAACCAGTGGCAGAGGAGTCCGGAGAAAGGCAACGAGAAAGAAAGAGGGCTCGAGTTGCGGCGGACGGAGCCAATTTCGGCGAGATCGGCAACTGCAATGTTGATAGAGAAAGAAACGACTACAACTCAGAGGCTACCCAACGGAGAAAGTGCCATCGAAGGGAGGCAACAACAACATCAAAAGGGGCTGAATCGGAAAAGAGATCTGAAAAAGTAGCTAGCCGAGGAGAAGGCAGAAGGGTCAGAGGCAGGGGTCATCTGAGGAGGAGGTAGAAGTACACGAGGCAGTGGAAGAAACCGATGAAAGAGCTCTAGTTTGGTGTCGGCGGCTGTTTTATTACTTAGGCGGAAAAGAGAAGAAAATGAAAAATATGGAACATAATGAAGGCACCTCCGACGACTATTAGAGAAGGTCGTCGGAGGTGGAAGGCAGTGGTTGCGGGTTGTGGTCAGCAGCAGGGTTTTAACCTAGAGCTCTGATACCATGTTAGATAATAGATTGTGTGATATTCAAAAGACAATTACATAGGAATATATAGAGAATACCTAAAGCCTAATGGCTAAACCCTAAAGGGCTTGGGCCTAAACCCTAATCACTAAAACATCACAAAAACAATATGTGCCCAAACATCAGGGTTGATAAGAAAAAAAAAGTATGATCAAGCGTCTCTGTTCCCAATCCACAAATATGTTACAAATAAGCCAGTCCAAATAAATTCCATGGTTGCCAAGTTTATATTTGGTCAACAATTTGTGTAGCTTTATCTTCCATGCTAAAGCATTCCCTTTTATCAGAACTAGGTTGTTCCAACAACATGTAGGTGAACCATCAACAATTAACATGCATTCTCCAATTAAGCATTTTATCAACGACAACGAATAATCGTCATTGGCTTCGAGATCCTACCTCCATCCATCATTTTGATATGATAGGACCACACTTTGCAGAGTGTCCCTCGAATCGACCCATTGATCAGACTCGACCCTCCTCGAGGTTCATGGCGCAAGCATGATTGCCAAGTCAGGATTAGAAATTAGATATGAATAAGGATAGTTTTATTGATATAATATCGAGACAAAAAAAACTCTTAAAAAAACGAGTTTCTAATGGAATTTCACCCAACCAAATTTCATCCAAAAGTGGTTGTTCTTAGCATTCCTCGTATTTTCACACAAACTATTCAATGTTAACATTTATTGTTTATGTAGACGAATGTCAAATGTCCACCTAAGGGGGCTTACATAAATGGAAGGAATGGAAGTGTTCTGATGCCCATCTTCACCATAAATGTTTTGATAACTCGTAGCTATAAAACATCTAAGTTAGTGAAAAACAAAATTGTCACTTCCATTTAAAACATGCTATATTTAAATAGGAGAAAATTCTCAATCCTAAGTCACTGTCATCTTTTCTAGTCATTACAATTTTCCATTTTATCCATGTGAAGTTTTTCGCACCCAACTCACCGCCAACAAAAAATGATTTCTAGAAGAATATAATGCGGTGGAGTCCAAATCTCCTGGAGGCATGCAAATCATCATCAAATTCAAATCGGATAGGACAGCTCAAGTGTTCAAGGAAAATAAAAATATTTGGTTGAAATGTTTTAACTGGTTGGATCATATGGGGAGGAAAGCGGTTCGTTTTTAGAGAATTGCCTAGGTCAACATCACCGGAATACCACTTCATTCTTGGGATGAATCCAATTTTGAATCTGTCGCCTGTAATTTTGGGAAGGTGTTGCTAAACACAGGTCCATTTTGGAATCGTAATGATCTTTCTTATGGAAAGCTATGTATTCTAACTGTTGCTAGGAAAAGGATAAACAACGAGGTGAATGTTGTCTTTGATGGAATTGCATGCATAATCGATATAATTGAAATTGATGATGATTGGACTCCATTCAAGCCCTTCTCGTCGAAATCAAATGAGGAGTTGGATGATGAGTTTGATGATAACGTTGACGGGGTTTCTGATACTTGGATACAGGAGAATACGGATCTTGAAGATGGTGAAATTGATCCAAAAGAAAATGATCAAGCCGGTGGGAGCCCAAAAACTCCGATGGCTGCAAATTCTTTGGTGGGTATTAGAATGGACAAGACCATGCATGCTCATGTGGAAAACGAAGAGACACAATTTAGAGAGTCCTTATGCATTGATGGTGGGGTTCATATGGCGCATCCCAAAGGCTTTGAAAGTGAAGAGAATAATTGTGTAAGGTTTAATTTGTCGGGGTCCACTCCTACTAGGTCAGGTAGTCAACTTGGTGGTACTACTGTTGAGCTGAAGTCGCCTAGACCTAATTCTAGGTCGCAGTCCATTGGAGCACAAAGCAGCACAGAGTTTGAGCTTGGTGCGTCTACTCTTAAATGTTGTCGTACGAAAAAAAGGAATCAGTGCTCATGATCGGCGTCTATCTTCAAATTTCAGCTCCATTAACTTAAATCAAATTGTCATATGTCCATCTGGTGAGCAGAAAAGCGATGATCCTGTTGATTCACCTTCATAGTCTTTTTCTTCCTGCGAGTTAGAGTGCACCATTGATGTTGGTATTCAAGTGGGGTTTCAAATTGACAGTAGGAATCAAGCTTTCTTGGATGCTGTCAATTGAGGTGGTGTTATCAGAAATTCCTCATGAATATCCTATTTCTAAATATTAGGGGGATGAGTGAGTCACATAAACACGATTAGCTCAAGAGATTGAAATTGGAGCATAAGGTCTCTTTCTGTTTTCTTCAAGAATCGAGATTGACTATTCTTCCTTCTGATATTGGAGACTAGTGGGGTAGCTATGATTATGTTATCGAATTTGTGGAATATGTTGGCAAATCTGGTGGCCTAGTTAGTTTTTGGGATGAAAGCCTTTTTACTGCTATTACAGTCATCAAGTCTAGATTTTTCCTGGCTGTTTTTGGTTATTGGAAAGGTATCATCGAGGAGACTATTTTTGTTAATGTCTATGCTCCACAAGCGCCAGTTGAGAAGAAAATTCTCAGGGGAAAACTTCTTAATCTAATGATCTAGAGGACCGGGAATTGAGTTATTTTTAGTGACTTCAATGCTGTCAGGAGACCGAGGGAAAGGCTCAATTCTTTTTTCTGCCCTAAAATTGCAGCTGACTTCAAAAAATTTATCTGTGATGCTGGAATTCTCGATCTCAACAAGGGAGGTGGTCGTTTTACTTATTTATGTGATGAAGGATGCAAATTAAGCAAGATGGATCGTATTCTAGTTTGTTCAAATTTCATGTCTGCTTTCCTCAACACTTTTATTACCGCCCTTCCTAGGGAATTTTCGAACCATGTATTACTTTACACTCATTACATGATATTTGGTGCTCCCCCATTTAGATTCTACAACTCTTGGATGTGTCGTGATGAATGTAACTCAATTGTTATGCAAACATGGAGCAGTTTCAATGGTGGTGGAGCTCCCGACAAATATCTTTCTGATAAGCTTCATTTTGTCAAAAATGCCATTAAACTTTGGAGAAGGGCTGAATTTGATAAGGAAAATAGTGCTTTGCTTGAACTTAAAAAATTGGTGAATGATTTAGATATGGAGGCCGAGAAGAGGCTATTAACCTCATTGGAGATAGCTAAATTAAAAGAAAGTAGAATCAAAATTACCGATATGGAGAAACTAAAAAAAGGATGATTTAATTCAAAAATCAAAAACTAAATGGGTAAGTGATGGAGATGATAATTCTAGCCTTTTCCATAATCCGCTCAAGATAAAAAATAAGAGAACTTGCATGAACGGGCTAATGATCAATGGTAACTAAGTCACTGATCCTAAGTACATCAAGAAGGCAGTTTGTAATTATTTTGGAGAATAATTTCGTAACCGATCTACCAGACCTTCTTTCATCAATCGGAATTTTGCGAGGCTTTCTGATGCGGATATAACTTGTCTGGAAGCCCTATTTGAACTTGAATAGATAAAAAAGGCTATTTGTAACTGTGGGAATGAGAAGGCGCCACGACCCGATGGCTTTAGTTTCAAATTCTTAAAGCATTATTGGCCTATTATGAAAGATGACATCATGCGGTTTGTCAAACATTCTGAATCGGTTGGGAATTTTTCTAGAGGAAGCAATTCTTCTTTCATTACCTTGATTCCTAAGGTAAAGGATCCTCTTTCTCTAAGTGATTATCGGCCCATTAGCCTCATCGGTTATGTCTATAAAATCATCGCAAATATCCTTACTTTTACATTGAAGAAGGTGGTTGGTTCTGTGGTTGATGAAGTTCAAAAGACATACATTTTGGGGCGTGACGGTCCCATGATTATTAATGAGATGTATTCCTGGGCTAAAAAATCTAAGTCCAAAATGTTCTTATTGAAGGTTGATATTGATAAATCTTTCAATTCTATTAACTGGAATTATTTGGAGTCGGTGATGTCGCAAATGGGCTTCGGTGATAGATGGCGATTTTGGATCAAGGAATGCCTCCCATCTTCACATGATTTGGTCCTTTTAAACGGATCGACTACAAAGGAATTTCCTATTACGAGGGTGTCCGCCAAAGTGATCCTCTTTCTTTATTATTGTTTATTATTGTCATGGAGGGTTTAAATGTTGCATTGAGATTGGCTCGTCAAAACTCTTTATTTCATGGTATTCAAACTCCTAATGGTGGTCCTGTCATCTCTCACCTCTTTTATGCCGATGATGCCGTTTTTGTTGGTGAATGGAAAAGTTCCAACTTCGCCAACTTAGCTCGTATTTTAAGGTGTTTTCATGCAGCTTCCGGTCTAAAAGTCAACTTTCACAAGTCAAATGTCTATGGAATTGGTGTTTCATGAATGAGGTCTCAAGTTGTGCTCGTATCCTTGGTTCCGATGTGGGTTCGTTCCCTTCAAGTACTTGGGGTGCCAATTGGTGCTAATATGGACCTTAAGAGAAATTGGATGCCTATTGTTGATAGAGTCTAATCATCTTTCATCTTGGAAGGACATGAATTTATCCTTTTGGGGGCGTTTAACACTTGTGAAGTCGGTTCTTGGAATCCTTCCTTTGTATTTCTTTTCTCTGTTTAAAGCTCTGAATTCGATTATCAATATCTTAGAGAAGATGCGGAGATGGTTCTTATGGTGCGGTAATGAAGAGAAAAATAAAGTTAATTGGGTCGCTTGGAAAGTAATTCTTGGTTCTAAAGAGAAGGGAGGTCTTAGAGTCGGATCCTTATAGTCGTTGAACAGGGCTCTCCTAATCAAATGGTTTTGGCGTTTCAAGACAGATCCTTTGTCTCTTTGGAGGTGTGTTATTGTAACGCCTAGTTCCTAGGTAAATTCCTTAAATTCTATATCTTTAATTATTTTGATTTTGTGTTAATTATGTTGGGTGTAATTCAGCTACGCGGGGAGTACCTTGTTGAATCTTGGACACGAGGTTTTTCCCCTGGTACATTGGGCGTACGTAGAGTACGTAGGGCGTACTCGAGCCAGGGGAAAACCCTAAATTTTAAGGTTTGGACTCTATTTAAGCACCTTATAACCTTAACACCCCTTTTATTATCAGCCCCCTTCGTCCAAAGTAGTTTCTACGAAACCCTAGCCCCCTTTAGCAAAGTTTGAGACCTTTGAGTGGTTTTTGTGGGTATTTAGTGCTCTTAGAAAAGAATAAGTGCACCATTGAAGCTTGGAGAAGCTCAAGCTCTTAGATCCAGAACTTCCATCACCATTGCATGCATGTGGAGGTATAAAGCTTGAACCTTTGTGCTTCTTTTTCTAGATCTAGATTTGGACCATGTTATGTTGTGTTTTTGGTTCCAAGATTTGGAATTTTGAGACTTAGTTTGTTCTTAATCGTTGAGTGTCATTTCTGATCATTTTGAGCTTATAAAGTCATAAAGTTAGGGGCTTGGACACCCCCATTCATCCATGCATAAGATCTTGGACAACAAAGTATACTTTGGACTTAGGGTTTGGATTTGTGCCTCTTTGAGCCATGCAAAGGCATCAAGTTGATGACTTTATCATTTAAGACATCCCCAAGAGCAAGATCTGTGGTTTGGACGACGGGTCTTAAAGCATTAAGTGCTTAACATGAGTTTTGGCCATCAATGGAGTATGTGGGGCGTACATATGTGTACGCTCAGCGTAATGCTTCCATCTCCCATTTTCCTTTGATGTTAAGGCTTATACGTGGAGCGAAATGTTGGTACACATGGCGTACTCACCAGAAGGCCTTTTGGGCCAATTATGGGCCTTAGGTTTTTGGGCCATTCGTGGACTTTGGATCTATAGGTATTTAAGCCATGGTTAGATTGGTCAACTGAGTGAATGATAAAATGGTCTTTTACCCTTAGCATGTTAGATGATAATCTGGGCCATCTTTTAAAGGTTATCATCCTAATTATTTATTAGAGTTAATTTGGATGTGTTTAGTGTGAGGAGTCGTGGTACAGCAGCCCGAGAGTGTGATTTGTCTATCTTCATATTGATATAAGTTTCCTCACTGTACTTGTGGGTCGAAGGCCTCAATGCCGGCCCACTAGATTACAATGTAGGATAGTAGTGGTCTTTGTGATGCTTATTGATATGTATGTATGTGCTTGTTGTCTTTGTGACTCTTGCTAGTATGGTGACTACACGTCAATTTGAGATTGGTTTTGTTCGGGATCAGGAGTTGGCAGTCAGGGTGAGTCAGCTGTGTTGGATGACAGGATTAGGGAGATCCTGCAGGAGGAGGTTGTTGCTCACTTCCAAACTCAGTTTCTAGAAATGTTTGGGTCTATTAAGACCGCCATGATTGAGTACTTTGATGAGCGTTATGTTGCTTTGTCTGAGGCTGCTACTGCTGAAGCCGTTGCGGCTGCAGGGGTTGGATCAGGTCAGGTTTTTCAGTATCGGGACTTCGACAATATGAAGCCTCCGAATTTCGATGGGGTGCAGGATTCGATCATAGCCATGAGGTGGCTATCTGATGTGGAGGGATGTTTCTGTTGGATCATGTTTCTAAGCCATTACTATATTTGGTATGTACTTGACCCGATTGTAGCATGGTCCTTTTGGGTTGCCTTCACCAAAGCAACTTGATTGGAAGAATAATAGAGAAAGAGGTTATTATGGTTTATTAATATATTATTTCAATAATATATTAAAAGAGAAATCATATTATTTAATTAACATTGGTCAAGAATTAATTTAGAATTAATTTTGTGCTCAAAAGAGGTTAATTGAATTAAGGGGACTGTTATTGTAATTATTGGATAATTGCAGAGTGGGCTGAGGAACCCTAAAGATAGGGTGGACGAAATCTTATGGAAGCCCATAAGGATTTCGTCCAAGGGATAGGTTCTGGAAGGATCTAGTGGGCTGCTTAGAGCCTAAGCAACCGTATTAGGTCTTTGACTGAAACCCTAATTCCTCACCTATATATAGAACCCTTGGCTTCACAATTTCGGCTACTACAACCCTAGAAGAATTACTAGAGCCAACTTTGAACCTCCTCCCTCTCTCTCTCTTGCATTCTCCAATTGCTTTGGTGTTTGTGATCTACTAGAGGCATCACACTTGAGGTGCTAAAGTTCTCAAAAGCTCAAGATCTTCAAGCTACAATCAAAGGTAATATCATAACTCTTCATTAGATGTAGATTTTGATTTTATTGTATGCTAGATTAGGGTTTGCAAGTCTTGGACAATTATAGCATGTACAATTATAAAAACTAGATCCAAGCATTAGGGTTCGCATGTGCACCATAGGATTGATGCAATGCTCATAACCCAACAGTGGTATCAGAGCGTAGATCATTTTTCTTTTGTATTTGATGCATTGCTGATTTGTTCAAAGCTTGAAAATCGAAAAATTGTGCCTATGACTGATGAACTCGTCGAGTCACCTGATGAACTCGACGAGTCAGATGAACTCGACGAGTCCAATTAGTGACTCGGCGAGTCAGGTCGTCTGGCGGATGATTTTTCGGGAGTTTGACTGAAATTGAATTAGGATAATTACCAAAAACGTTTTTGACTGATAAAGTCCAATTTTTTCAATAAGGTATTGATTATCCTAATTCAATTCAAATAAAATTGTCATAAATAAGATAATTACTTGTTTTATATGATAAAGATTGATTATATGTATTTTGATTTGAATTATCTTGTCAAGAAAATAAATTAGGTCAAATTATGTGATAAAGATTAACAATATGATTAATTAATTATTTTTCAAATTTGATCTAAAATATGTTTTGAAAAGTTTCAAAACTTGCCCTCAAGTTTTGGAATTTAAAATTTTTGATTAATAGTTTTAATTTTGAAATAT